GCAGGCCTTGCTGTTCAATTCTGGTTTCTAAATGAGCAAGGTAGGTGATGAGTTGTGGCAATGATACATTTTGTCCATCCTCTCCAATCACCAAAACATTTTGTTTAATCTCCTGCACTCTTTGTTCTTGCTGATTTATTCTTTTCTGTTGTTTTTCCAGTTCTTCTTTCCTTATTCTTTCTTTGACGAGTGCTTCCTCCAACTGCTTGATGTTCTCATTTACGGTAGCCAAAGTTGCTGGTTGTTCCTTCTTTTCACTGCCATTTGCAACTTCAATATATTGGTCCATGATATACTTGTCAAGTGCCTGTCGGCATTTGATAAGTACACCCAGGACTTCCATAAATAAACTTTAATGCAATCTTGGTGATTTGGGCGACTCACACTCATGCTTTTCACTCATACACTAGTAGGTAGTGCACCGCAACTTCCATTGATGATCTTTCATGCAATCTCGGTGTTCTACGCTACTCGAACTCATGCTTTTCACTCATGCACTAGTAGGTAGTGCACCGCTACTTTCATGGATGATCATTGATGCAATCTTGGTGATTTTAGAGACTCACACTCATGCTTTTCACTCATACATTAGTAGGTCGTGCACCGCAACTTCCATGAATGATCTTGCGTTCAATCTTGGTGATTCGGGCTACTCACACTCTTGCTTTTCACACATACACTAGTGGGTAGTGCACCATTACTTTCATGGATGATCTCTGATGCAATCTTGGCAATCTARCCTACTCAAGTYCRTGCCTTTCACTTACACACTAGTAGGGAGTGCACCGCTTCTTTCATGGATGGYTTTTGGCTCAACCTTRGTGATCTTGCCTACTTARACTCTTGCCTTCACTCACATGATAGTAGGTGATGTTCCGGATYTTACTTAGTTGATCTCTTCTCTATGTGCATGTGCTTTCCACTAGTTGTAAGCTTCTCATTGTCTTGTTCATGCTTGATGTGATGTTCCGGATCTTACTTGGTTGATCTCTTCTCTATGTGCATGTGCTTTCCATTAGTTCTAGCCTCTCATTGTCATGTTCTTGCTTGGTGAGATGTTCCGGTTGATCTCTCTTATGTGTGCATGTGCTTTCCACTAGTTGTAGCTTCTCGTTATCATGTTCACACTTGATGTGATGTTCCAGATCTTACTTAGTTGATTTTTTCTCTATGTGCATGTGCTTTCCACTAGTTGTAGCTTCTCATTGTCATGTTCATGCTTGATGTGATGTTCCGGACGTTACTTAATTGATCTCTTCTCTATGTGCATGTGCTTTCCGCTAGTTGCAGCTTCTCATTGTCATGTTCCTGCTTGATGTGATGTTCCGGATCTTACTTAGTTGATCTCTTCTCTATGTGCATGAGCTTTCCACTAGTTGTAGCTTCTCATTGTCATGTTCATGCTTGATGTGATGTTCCGGATCTTACTTGGTTGATCTCTTCTCTATGTGCATATGCTTTCCACTAGTTGTAGCTTCTCATTGTCATATTCATGCTTGATGTGATGTTCCAGATCCTACTTAGTTGATCTTTTCTCTATGTGCATGTGC